TTCAAAAAGTATAGTTATCAACGAAGGAGTGATTATTATACGTGTTTGCAGTCAATGCGCTTTAGACGAATATAGTGCAATGTGTCATGGAATTACGTTTGTGAACAGAATAATTACTCATGGTTGAACAGTACCACCCAATCGGATGACACCTCGATCTGCGCGCAATGACCCATACATAGGGCATATTTCAATAGAAAGGTTATATTATAAAACTCAGACTGCTTTGCTAAGGCGGTAGAAGCCGTTAACGCCAAAACCACTACTTAAATTCCGACTAATTAATCAGGTATCAAATGCGATCGTCGATGCAAAATAACTGTGCAGAGTTAATCACAAAGCATCAATCTCTCAAAGCGTGTCAGCATTTTCTTTCATTGCTATTGCTTATCTTTTTATAGATCTGTCGAGTTCCACTATCGAACAATTCGCAAAACGTGTTGCGTTAGAGACCACCACGAGAAAAGTATTTAAAATGAAAGAATTCGTCGACGCTATTTTGTTACTTTCAGGCCAGATGCTTTTCCAATATTGCTAAAGGATAGTGAAGGCACGCAGGTCGTTTTTGTTTTGTCAATAAAATCAGCAATCCGTAGCCTGCTAGAGTGACAATCCGTGTTGGCAAATTTGAACAACAAAAGCAAAGTTTTTAAACAGTCGTCTTTCCTACAGGCGCGGATGTGTTCTAGCGCTGGTCTACGGCAGCTGTTCTCTGACAAAACATCTGCCTACTTTTTGAAACTTAGCCCTTATGCATTGCTTTATTATGTTCAAAAAATCGCTGAAGGTCGACTCGAAATCTAGGTAGGTAAAAAAGGCAACTTTGTTAACTTGCAAAACCGAGTTAGGCAAAAAATATATTGAAAGTTAAAAAAAAAATGACAATTATTGCAAGCTGGTCATACATGCAGGGGCGCCATGTTTAATTATCAGTACAATGAATTGAAAGCACTTTTTGATGAGACTCCCTTTTTAATGCAGTCAGAAAATAAGTCTTACAATCACAAACACATATTATGTGATTCTTTCAATATACAGAACGGCAAAAATTACGCCATGTTCTCAATATGTGAATACCACTTTCATATGCGAAATAACATCAACATATATAGACGCTCTTTCTCGCCGATGTTCAGCGGCGAGGTAGTTCTGTCTGTATAAAAAAGGAACC